TCCAGGCGTGCGATTAAAAGCACTAAAAATGATGGACGTTTCCATACTGCTCCAGTTCCACACTACCACTGCAGTCTCCGGAAACGAAAAGGTACAAATATCGCCTTTAAATTGCCCCGATCATTATCCTTACCAAAGAAATCCGGGACAACAGAAGCCCCAGCCCTGCGAAGTAAACGATATATATGGAGGGCGAACGGACACGTTTACCCCCAGAGTCTCTCCGCACTGCTGATAAATAAAATAGTTTAACCAAGCCCACGAAAGACTGTTGAGTTTCAAGCAACTCGTCTGCTTTAAAATGACAGCCCGTCTCAAAATTGCAGTGGGGCGATCACCAGTCTGACTGTCCAGTCATAAACTTGACGGCACCTCAGGCCCTACCTCTTGGGTTGAATTATCCACGGACCCATGGACTTGAGGAAAAAAAGGTAAACGTGACATCGGCACATATTCTGCGTCATCACCATATACAGTTTTCAGTTTCTGCCTGTCACAATCAGTCTGGTACAGAAAAGCTTCAGCCATGACAAGATCCCGGGGGACTGCATATATCTTCAAAGAATCTGAACGAAGAAACACGTAAGTTAGGTTAGTTTATCATGAACAAAAAGCAAAAACTAATCAGTTTCGATTAGGAAGAAACTGACATGCATGCGAACAGGATCTTCTTGCCTCAAATACATTGAGGGATGACGTTTGCCGCTTCAAAATGGTGGGACTTTTTTTCCTGATAGCTACGGCGTATTTTCGGAAAAAAGGTGACTTTACCGGAAAAATGCCAAAACTGAGGAAAACCGCCCACCAACAGGCAATCTTTTGGCCGCATCTACAAATGTGGTCCTAATCAGGATAATTCGATTAAGCCATGAGGTTTGCAATTGGCAGTTTGCAAAAGCAGCTAAACGCTTCCCAGTCGGCAAGCATTTAGACCGACAAGACGAAAGCTTAAGAAACCAGACAGGAACAACCAAGCAGCTGAAGGCTGGAATAATGGTCAGCTGCAGGCTTGACTTGGATCACAGTGGTTACAGTATCATTTTTCTCATCGGTGTAAGCTGAAAAACGTGGAAGGTAAAGTATGTTCATCACCCAACCGGGGATAAACTTCAAACTAAATTAAGAACATCATGATTGGACCGGGCTGCATGAAAGAGCTTCTTTACTTAATACATTTGGAGATTCCTCAAGTGTACAACGTCAGTAATGCATTCAGTAGTAGGGTTACCAGAGGTACTAACTAACGCATTAGAGGACTGTGTGCCACAATCCGGAATCTTGGTTTCCCAGCAACAAAATACCGAGTGAAGCTTTGGAAGAAACGATGCATAAGGATTAGCTTACATCCGACTCACAAAAGCAGGAAAAATCCTTAGTACCCAGAATACCCACTAAGCTGTTCAAACAACGATGCGTTGTGCAGAGAAAATTTGATTCTCTGAGTAAAAGTCAGGAATATGAACTCAGGACGTTGGAGAAACGCTCAGCTTATATTTCACCAGAATTTATAGTTAGTCAAACTCCTAAAGGGTATCTCATCTGCTAACTAAAGAGACGGCTGCGCAACCAACCGGCTATAGACCAAACAGTTATGCTCTGATTGGTCAGAATATTGACCAATTAGAGTGTAGAGTTTGGCCCGACCCTTCTTTACCAGGGTGGATTCAGTCTACATTTCAACAATTCGATAAAAGAGATTCATGATCAGTGATGAGAATGCATTGCATGTCCAAAACGATGATGAAAACGGAGGATAGAGCAGGTAAGTGCATCACTTAGCTGGACATGTTACTAAAAGCAAAAACTGAGTAACGAGGGAAAACATGAAAACAGCTGGCGCAAGAAATGAAAAAAATGAGGAAAACAAACCGCTCTGAAGGAAAGAAAAATAAGCGAAATGTACATGATGACTTGCTGGAACGTGATTTGCACTTAAGCACGGGTGGCAGCCCGAATGGTGCGCAAAGGTTAAATGCGTGGAGAAGTTACCGGGAGGCTCACAAACAGCTTGTTCAAGAAGTAAATGACGGAAAATAAATTTAAAAAAACAAAAGGAGAGACATCAAGCGAGACCGAATTGCGCCTGCATAGAGGAAAGCAGGTGGGTGGAAAGGTTGAGGTATGCAGTTTCTTTATCAATTCGGTATATGCAGGTCCGAATTGACATGGTTATTGACTTCCTGAATCCAACACGCAATTTGATGTCGTCCTTCGACTGGAAAAAAAAGAAAACGTGGATGAAATTTCCGCTACTGAGTTGACGGAGGATTCAACTGAAATTTGCGACGCCTTTTTGACACTCAGGTGCTTTGAAGTCCACCGGTGGAGAGGAGATCGTTCAGCTTCATACGGGAGCAACTAATAGCCAGAGGACCGGTAAATAGATGTTCACTTTTGAAACCACCAATAGAAGACGGGCCGTGCGAGATAACTCAAAATCACGCAGATTGGAAGACTACACGCAAATCGACTGGGAAGGAGGGACACTTAAACTCTGTTGCATCGAAAACTGTCGGTTATCTAGCATCCAGCATTATAGCTCGACACTGGGAAGGACACTTAAACTCTGTTGCATCGAAAACTGTCGGTTATCTAGCATCCAGCATTATAGCTCGACTCATAACGCCAAGCTAGATAGTTCCTGGAACGCCGTACCAGAGAATTCAGTGACCAGTCGTTTTGTTAACTGCACAGCGTTGGCAGTTGCGAATCCATGAAACTGTCGGTTATCTAGCATCCAGCATTTTAGCTCGACTCATAACGCGAAGCTAGATAGTTCCTGGAACGCCTTACCAGAGAATTCAGTGATCAGTCGTTTTGTTGACTGCACAGCGTTGGCAGTTGCGAATCCATGCGACACATCAAGGTTCAAAGGATAAAAACACCAAACCAATAGTAAGACCGTATACCGAAAATTATAAGTCAGGTTATCAATTATACATAAAAAACTAAACGTAGAATGCGGTAAAACACACTAGAGTAGTATTCTCTTCATAAAGGAAACCTGTGAGTAGTTTCCTTTATGAACATATACTGCGATTTCTCGAATATCGTACCAACTGAAACATGAGGCTGTTTTTGTGCAGCACATTCAGTCGAAGGATATCATGAACGGTAGATTCACCTGAGTCTCCCATGAAAACTAAGGTGATTTGCAAATGGGTCTATTTGTCGATAGAGTGACCCCTTTATAGGGAGGGGACTATAAGCCCTCATATGCAGCTGTAGGACGATGTGGTGCGTTTTCCAAATGACCGATATTTTTCAGAATGGTTTTATTTCCAGGAGTCAGACTGCTAATAGAGGGGAACCGAAATGAGTGGTGCTCATTGTTAGCACAAGAGAACGTGATCAATCAAAATCCAAATTCAGGCAACATTGCTACAGTCAAAGCCCTGATCCCTGTAATTGTACCATTTGTTGGGCGGAATTCCACACCAATACAGCTTTACCGCTCACAGTTAGGCTGAGAAGCCTGTTGTGAACAAATTTGACCAAACGTTCAAACCGCTTGCCGGCCGGGCACCAAGGCGAGGTCTGATTGGTCGAATGACTGCACCAAACAGTTAATCACGACACACTGTTGGCCGATTACCGGTTGCCAATGGCGCATCTAGAAGGCGTCAGAAATTTCAGCATACACTTTATATACGACGCGCTGTACAAGTATTTTTTACCTGGTTTAGGGCGTCAATATACGCTGTGCACGGGAACGCCAGCTTGGGAGGTTCAGACCGTGAACTAGGCTGATAAAAAAACACGGTTATTACACCGCTCTTGACAGTTAAGCACTAACACGTGCCACTGGTGTATCGCTGTCAATGATGACGATGATGATGATGATCGCACAGAAGATAGCTACGAATGAAAGTGGGAAAAACGCATTCTTGGGGGAGGGGATATAAAATGTTGGTAAAGTAGAGGTTCAAGTGATGAATCTCATGAATAATTCGAGTTTGAAATACACTACTCATAAGGTTGCTGAAAACTCCTCGACAGCCCACGACCAGTTTCGCCCTTCTTGGGGCTCATCGGGTTGGCGCAGTCTCCGAGTTGCTGTCAACCTTATGTTCTACTTGAAACCAAATTGCACGAAATTAGCGAAATACACTCATTTGAAAACAATTTTGGTTTTGCTTGGAGACATCGAAACCGATAGATTAAGCTGGGTTCCAGGTGAGGCTCTCGCAAAACCAAAATTGTTTGCAAATGAGCGTATTTCGCTAATTTACGCTTGTCTTTGTCTGCACCTCTGACTGACAGACTCTGATTCAGCCAGGCCAACAGGAAAGTGGCATCAATTGGTAATGTGGTGAAATATTGGTAGCTCGGGTGAGTTTATTGGTTGTTGATCAGATGGCTGTTGATCTGTTCGCCGAGCTTGGCAATTGGCTTGCAAACGTTTCGTCACCATACGAGGAGACATCATCAGTGCGCAGTGGTGATCAACAGAGAAGAGGAGATGACAAGCATCGAGCTCCAACACAAGAGAGGGACCAGCCGCATTTACTCCGGAACAGGTTCGAAAAACATTGAACGAATGAGAGACTATCTAGTTCATCTGGAAAAAAAACAGTTTTCGATTTCAACTGAATGCATGAACAGATTCTGTTCTGTACAACTACAAACCAAGTATAACATGTCTCCTCGTCAAATAAAATTTAAAGGTGATTCGGGATCCCGAGATGAGCCGTGCTGATACATTTCACAATCCCAGTAGAATTATCATCTTCTGAAACCTTTGTGAAAATCGCTTTTGTCAAGGTCGAATGTTATTTAACGGCTGCCGTTGCCCCAAAATGCATATTTACTAACCACCACGTCGGGCCTGTTCTGAAGCAAAAGAAAATACATTGCGGGCTGGCGCGCTGCACTCACACGAAGGAGAAGGCTAACATGCATGGTCAGAATAATCGTGCGAAATATCCACTGGGTTGAAACGGACTTCGTACATTTTGAGCTCGTTTTCTGGATAGACCGTTTTGCGAAACCGTATTTACCCTGAATTGTGGCCGGAGCTGAGGTGGCTTTCTGGTGACATGTTTGTGTTAAGCGTTGATTCTGAGATACTAAACAAGGACTTGCGAGTCTCTCCCATACGGGCGAGATGGCTCAGTGGTAAATGGTCCGCCGGAGCCGGGTGGCTTTCTTGTGACATGTTTGTGTTAAGCGTTGATGCTGAGATACTAAACAAGGACTTGCGAGTCTCTCCCATACGGGCGAGATGGCTCAGTGGTAAATGGTCCGTGGTTCCAACCGGACCTCTGCCTCTCGACTTCCCCTGTCTAAGCTTGGGCAACCTGGCAGTATCCCAGTTCTCGTGCTTCCTTCGGGTGACATGGCAGCTAGGCACCGAAAGGGTGATGCAGCTGACCAATTATCTATATTATCTTATCAACTAGCCTCACCGCTTTGATCGCTTAATCTCCCCAACCATATGTATGATCAAACTAGGTGCACTGTTCCTCATCCTACTTAAAGGGTGTGTTATTACATTCTACTTTTCGCAACCGATATGTCTGGTCAGTGCATGTCTTCAGTAAAGATGACTGACTGTTGGGGACATGTATCAACAACCCGACTCACCAATAAGGAGAAAATATAAGTTCCATCTGAGTGAGAGTCGTTCATAACTCTTCAATATTTCGCCCTCAGGACCTGATGTTAAGGCCCGAATCGTGCATTTTGTCGCATCCGACCTTGATAGTAATCGTGATGTAGTAAGATTACCATTTTTAAACTACAGATACTGCTTTTACATCAAAACACTGCCATGATATAGTAAGGCTCATATTAGAGCATTTCTGGGATCGCATGCAGTTGACAGCTTGTAATACACGAAAGTCCTTTCCGCTTCTTGTTTTTCCGAATTGAATCGTTCAGCTGTAGCACCCTTCGGTGCCCAACCACCATGCCATTCGAAGGTTGCACGAGGGCTGGGATACTGCCAGGTTGCTCAAGCCTAGACAGGGGGATTCGAGAGGCAGAGGTCGAGTTCGAACCACGGACCTTCTGGTCAGTAAATTCGCGCCCTAACCACTTGGGCCATCTTGCCACTTCCTGTTTGTCAAAATATCTTTATCCCTTCAGCCATCATCCTTGGTGATAAGTTGCAAAGATACGGAATATGTTGTTCGGTTCGGTTGTTCTTCCCCCAGCCCACAGTCTGCTCTCCAAATTAAAGACCATGCTAATGGTCCAATATCTCGTCAGGTCGCACTATCATGAAGTCTTGATCCCCACGTACACACGAGGAAAAAAATTGGAGATTTGAAAAAGGGTTTACAAAACAGCTTCAACAACTGGGTTGAACTGATAAGCTTAGTGCACTCGGACTGTGAGTGGGGCAACTCAGTCGGAGAATGAAAAAGCACCTACTGTCCAGCCTGAGGAACGTCAATGAGACGCCAACATCAGCACTATAGGTTAAATAGTGAGGCTCCACAGACGGAAACAGTCTAGCGAATACACAAACACCGCAATCTGACTCTCCCGTGGAAATCAGAACCCAGAAGCAAGCCAGACACCTAATCAGAGTACCACACTCAAAGGTAGACGGTAAGTGCAAAACACGGACGCTACAAAAAACGACTGCTATGTGGGGGCGAGATGCACCAAGTGGTTAGAGCGCGAATTTACTGACCGGAAGGTCCGTGGTTCGAACCCGAAATCTGCCTCTCGACTTCCCCTGTCTAGGCTTGGACAACCTGACAGTATTCCAGCCCTTGTGCAAGCTTCGGGTGGCATGGCAGCTAGGCACCGAAAGGGTGCTACAGCTGAACGATTTTTTTGTGTGTGGAATCCCCAACATCTGTCTAACGAGTCAAAATAAACAGCTGATTCGGTTGGAGATTGCAGTATGTGTAGTTCGTCGACTAACTGATGCGAACAGTGTCCATTACCTTCATTACAAACGGAAACAAATCAACCGAGTGAATCGGCAATAAAAACTTGGCTCGAGTTTTTTCCTGTTTATACAACAAATGACGAACATCACCGAAAACAAATTCCCCATTGAGTGAATTTGTATCAATATTCTCCACGAATGTTGGTTTCTACAGTAATCTAATATGGGAATCAGTTGCATCATCGGTCCTTTGGGACTTTCAACTTTCCATAGACTGGAACGGGACCGAGGCTACATGTGCCAAAGAGAACGTTACTGTTCACGTCGAATTCCGAGTGCCGCCAATCAAGATCTGAGTAGAATAGGATACAGCAAAAGTGAACAAAGCAGACTGCGAAAAATATACGGCACCTTTTGGTGTTTTGCTCAACTTCCGGAATGCGGTTCATCTTGTGTTTGACTGGACAGGACTACAGATATGGCCGCTAACAGGTTTCGACGGCGTTCGTGGAACCAGTCCCTAACCCCAAAAGTCTGAATTGGTCAGAGGGTGTAGGCAGCTGGGATGCTTACTATGCGTATTAATGTTATTAGTACAGTGACTCAGCTGTGCATTGAGGGAAATTTGAAAATTGAAAATTTGAAAAATTTGAAAATTGAATTTCTGACATTATTATTGCGTTCCTTGGTACTGCGGAGAGACATCCTGCCCAAATGCGAGCCAGAAACGCAGTTGATTGTTCCTAATACAGGTGAAACAGCTGTACAGTGCACTTAGGCTTTTCAGCACAGATTGGCGTCACGTGCAAGATGGAATATCCATTATCACGTATGTCCATTCGCTACCAACAACAGCCGTAGGACGTTCGATAAGAGCATCCGCAGACGTGTTTTCTTCAATTCATTTCTGCGTGCATTTCCAACAAAAATACCATCAACTGTGAGTAACAAAAACATTTTTCAGTTTTGTTAGCAGCGAAACTGGTGTTCGGTGACCCTTTTCCGTGGTGGTGGCGTAAAGTCATATTTCGATCAATTTAGTATAACTCTGCCAAAAACCTGTTTGGTGTCCACAATATGGTTCAAAAAATGGGTTCACCACCAAGACAAATCCCTTCTGAAACGAGGACTTCTGCTTGTGTCGATAAGCTCTTTGAAGGTAGAAACTCAATGGTACAAACCGATGAGGAAGGAACTTCACCTCAAATTAACCATATATATTGAAAGTTAGTAGTGCGTAGAGGTGGGTTAGTGGTTGTGCGTTGGGTAGTGTTGTGCGTGTGTTAAAATACGTGCTGCTACCAGGGGATGACCTTTGGTCGCGATTAGTTGTTCGGTCGAGTGATTTCATTGGTTGTTCTGTTGTCCTGTGTCCTCATTCACCGATGCCCACGTGACTTTTGAGCTTGGCATCGTGAATCCAATATTTCAATGTCAATATTTCAAGGTCACCCCAGCATCGACCAGATTACGACGGCGGGGGACGCCAAGCTCAAAGGTCACGTGGGAATCAGTGAATGGAGTCAGGGGACAACAGAGCAACCAATGGAATCGCCCGACCGAACAACTAATCGCGACCAAAGGTCATCCCCTACTAGCAGCACGTATATTAACACACGCGCAACACTACCCAACGCATAACCACTAACCTACCGCTATGCACTACTACACTCCCCAACAACGCACTGATGATATCACTTGGATTGCTGATGAAACGTTTGCAATCAAATTGCCCAGCTCAGCGAACAAGCCAACGACCACCATCTACGCTACCTGAGCTACCGGCATTTTCCTCTATAGAAAATAGTGAAAATTAGTTAGGCCACGTTGGAGAACAGTTCGGCTCAACAATTTGGCCAGAAATTGCCAAGCAGATGCACACACACACATTCAGGGACGAACGCTGTACAATACATCACAATGGAACAACGGACGGCACAGCTGTCTATCAAAGATGTCCAATCGCCTTAGGATATATTTACGTGTATATAATCAACTCGAAAGATTCCAACAGGTGTGTCTTGCACCTGTGGCAGACGTGTAAGATATCGGTGGTAAACACGTGACAAGGAAACACGGATTTTTCGAATCAGAAGAGTGATGGACTACCTGATATCTAAAGACATCACGTGCAACAAATCGTTTGTCTGTCAAGATCTTAAGACGAATTCTGGGAAAAAGTGGATGGATGAGAGCTGGTGACAAGTCAGGGAAGTGTATCAGGCACCACCAATTTGTCCGACTACTGAAAGTTCAAACATGATGGCATGAGCAGGTGAAGCAGGTCAAAGGTGGTAGTGCATAATCGAACAGGAAAACTTGAGATCCGCTTACCATTTTCGATGTAGGCACTGACCATTTTCTCAGTGGCCACGTTCTCAAGAAGAGCACTGTGGAGAACTGGAACAGAGATAGACCAAAAGGAGTTGGTCACGAAAGAAAACTCAGACTGACGTCAGAAAAAAGGTACCATGAAATGTTTCCCCGTTAATTAGACCTAGTTCCATTCGTCTGGTTTTTTCATGGTTAGGAGGTATGGATCACACGGAACATTTTTCTGCGTGTGGTCCTGTTTGCAGAATCTAAAAAACTAGGGTTTGGCAGTATGTTGCGTTACAATCACTACTCAAGAGTTTCACGGATCAGGAGGTCAGTATCAAATTTCCAAACTAACGTAAGCAGTGTGTCCACAATTCCCCTGCATTCCTATTGAATATCACCTTCCTAGGCGTGCTGTCATTACGCACAGAATTTTTTGTGCTCGTTAATCTCACGATGAGCTTGATTTAGAATTTCTGTGTGCTAAAACCTTATCACCGGATTTCTCATTTGACATTCGAGCTGAGGGCACCGCAACACAGTCAATCGTTTTTACGAACACTTGGAATGTAGAACAAAATGCTGACACCTGCAGGCCTTAAACGAATAGCACAGGATGTCTAATCTTCAGCTCCGAAAAAATCTGCACAGACTGTAGTCTTTAATAGAATAGGTAAGCTCACCAAAATAGTGGGAGCTTTAGCTGACGAGTCGATACTCAACAGAAAAGAGACAGAAGAAGAACGCATCAAATTGAAAAGCCAGTAACCGAGATGTTCGGAAGATCGCAACATAAAGAATTTATCGGTCATGTTTAATTTTGGTGTGTTCGAATACAACCGCCGCTATACAACGACTTTGCTGCGGGTATCTACGAACAATCTACTCATGAGACCGATACTAGACATAACTGATTCTTCACATCACTCACTTGCTAAATAAGTGGCCGGGAAACCGGGGTCAGCTAGGCACGTGATTGTCAAAGAAAGCCTCATTAACCAGTATTGGTTTGTTGACGCGGCTAGTCGGCAGACCGCAACCGGGGTTCAATTAATGTCACGTCACTTTACCACTCTGTGGAATGGTAGACTAACTAATGAGAACGAGATAGCTCGGTGGTTTGAGTGCGAATTTACTGACTGTCCGCGGTCCCAACCCTAATTCTGAACCTCGACTACTCCTGTCTAGTTTTGGGCAACCTGGCAGTACCTCAGCCCTCGAGCTTCCTTCGGTGGGCATGGCAGTTAGACGATGAAGGCGTACTACAGCTGAACGATAATTTCTACTAGACTAATTACTTAATTGTGTCTAGACTAACGGATCAAATATTGACAGAGCAACGGACGATCTGAAAGAGCGTTTGACCCTGTGCGGCCATCATACAGTTTCAATTCCACATTCAAACGTGTGGACATAAAGCTGGCACTGCCACGGGATCTCCAGTTCGTCCACCGCTGGCTGATATATTCAGGAGCATGCAAGGGGGACATTAACTCGAATTCTGCCCAGTTATAGAAGCGACATCGATGATAACTTCAATCCTGAAGAGGCTGGTTTACATCCACATCATCTTCCAAGGTGTAACCACAGTGATGTCATGGGGACTCCAAGAAGGCATACGAATGACTTGTGCGGCGGTAAATTTACACGTCGAAAGGTGTTCTGAGCATGAGGCCCTATTTTCAAGTGACCTAGCCTAGTGGCGGCGTTCAGCATACTGTACTGTAAATTGCCGCAAGACAGCGCACAGAAGAAAGCACCTGCTTGGTATATCTCATCGACCTCTCCAGGTGCATTAAAGCATTTGAACGGGACGCGCAGTTTTATACCTACGAGCACCGACGATGATTCCTATATTGTGATGGATGGGTATTGATTGGTTTTCTGGACTCGTCAGAGACAGAGAGAGAGCAAGAACGAATAACAAAGAAACCAAATGTCAGACAGATCCCACACCAAAACCACTCTACCGCTTGCAGTTGGGCGCTGCCACGGCCAAGAAGTCGGGCCATTTGCCGGCTCAGCGATAAATCGAGCCCTGACTGGCCGAAAGTGTGGGCCAAACCGATGATCATGATAATCAGGTCCGCCAGTGGTGCGTCCAGAAAGCGTGAGAACTTCCATAATGTTGTTGCCTTAACACTATATAAATATGATGCAATGTATTTGTGGTGTGGTTCTTTCCACAAAAACGCTAGATCGGGAGGCTCAGACCGGCAGCCGAGCACAGGCATAACCTTATAACACTAAATGAGGTTGGCGAGGAGACTAACCAATGTGCATGAGGTGTACCAAATGAGAGAGAGAGAAAAGTCTGAACAGGTGACTGGGGCACTCACTGTGATTCAGTCGACGCAACATTGGTAGAGTAACGCCTTCGACTGGGAGCGGTTCATAGGGGAGACGGAGCGTAAGGGACTAAAACAGGGACAGAGAAAGTGAGCGTGCCAGGGCTGGATGAAAAGAGGCGGATCATACTCAAAGTGTGGATCGATGGATGTGCTCGCTCAAAAGATCAGATAACCTGACTTAACACATAAGCAGTTAACCTGCCACGATCTACCTCGATAAGGTGATGTACATTCTGTGGCATCATCTGCGTCAGAAGACCATTTTCACCGAACTGGGTGCTAAAATCGTTGGCAAAATGATCTAGTGGCAGAGTATGCATGAGACAGGACAGTTAATTAGTTAGTTATGACCCAAAAACGCATGCAACGGTGTGCGGCTAGGCGTACCACCAAAGACTTGTGTTTTCCGGGCGCAACCGTTCGATCTCTCGCATTAAAAAATGGACAGATTCTGCCTTCTACTGTGCTCAACACTTTGGGTTAAACAAGACAGTCGATCAATCATATGAAAGTGTCTTAACATTGTAATGGCAGCCTGCGCCTATGTTAGGCAGGAATCCACGCGGATCCCACTATACCGCACGTCTTTAGGCGCTGCTACGGCCGAGAAGCCTGGCCCGCTCGAGGTTGGCCCAGAATTCGGGACGCTTGCCGGTCCGGCATCAAGACGAGATCTGATTGGTCAACAATCTGGACCCAACAGCCAATCATGACCCAGTATTGGCCAAATGCCGGTTGCCAATGGCGCATCCAGAACGCGTCAGAAATTCCAGAAAGTTATAACCGCTTACGCTATATATACGAAGCGCTGTACAACTGTTCTTGATTTCGTTTTGGGCGTTAATAGAACTTGTGCACCTTTGGTGGTTGTTTTGACGTGAACGCTAGCTTGGGAGGCTCAGACCGAGAACTAAGCTGAGGAAAATACCGTTACTACAACCTACAATTGGTAGGGAATATTGCTGTTGTGGGACTCCCAGTACCGTGCCAAACTAGAAAAAGCCTTAACTAATTCAACTAGTAGATAATCCCTTATGATCACGACGCAAAAAAGATGATTCTATCACACTGGGGAGGCGATCTTGGTTCGGAGGGGCAAACGAATCATATCCCATCTAGTACAAGCATACAATAGTACGAGACGGTAACGCGCACAAGGGAGTGGTTGAATATAGAGAGGGATTTTCAAAAAGAGAGTCTTATTGGCGGACAAAAGTCAGTGGAAACTGGTTAGTTCTGCTAAACACTAAATCCCACAGGACTTGATCGCCAATCCTCGTATTCCTGCCCATCAGTTTCAGAAGTTTACAGGCATTTCCACTTGTAAGTTTCGTCGCGGAATCATTCCGATTTGTTAGTAATCCACAGTACGCTCACAGCGAGAACCTGAGTAGTACCCACAGGGAATAAATTGCTCAGCATGCAAGCTACTTTCCAAATCTCATGATTTTTATAAAATTGTGGACCCGTAATTCACGGCTCGAGACAGCTCAATGGTTAAGGCGCAACCTCACTGACCAGAAGGACCGTGGTTCGAGCCCGACCTCTGCATCTCCAATGCTGCTGTCTCGACTTGGGCAACCTGGCAGTATCCTAACTCTTGTGCTTCCTTTGGGTGGCATAGCAGCTCTACTCCGAAAGGGTGATAGAGCTGCACACCACTCGAGAAACAAATGAATGGACATTCTCATTGGGCTTGCGGTGCCTGCCTATGCTGGTCTGGGGCAAGTCGCCGACCTCGATGCGTTTTCATCCACACTATTTAATTCGCTACCGCTGATTCAGAAAGAATGTCAGTCACAGTCAGTGACTTGTGCTTGCTTGCCATTGTGAGCTCTCTGCGTATTTATGACACTTTTATGCGTGGCACATGGCCATTTAATCTCACACCAGACCCAGTATGACGAACAGTTTGTGCCTCATATGCGAGTCTTGGTTGTGCTAGCGCTTACCGCGCCTTGAAGAGCATTGAACATTGTTTGTCCTTTCTTCGGTTGTTGGTTTTTGGACGCGTCTTTCCATACTGGAATTTTTACATACGTTGGGATTCACCTCATCTGACTGGAACTATTGGTGGCATGAATCCGAACGAGGCGTTTCTCTCTTTTATCTCATTCTCCTGTTACCCTTTCGCTTGTATTCACTTTTTATGTTTGTGACCATGCTCTTCAAAAATAAATGACAATAGTAAGCGGTTTACGGCCCATACATACATGCGGAGCCTAAAGACCAATAATGGTCCCGAATTCGTTTCTTTATTGGGTGATATCCCTGTGAGGACAAATTATCTAATTTGTGGGGGATATCCAGATCCAACAACAGTTTGGATTCAAAGCCTATGGAGGAATACCGAGTCCCAGATTGCAGGTAGAATCTGGCCAAACAGGGTAGTTCTGTCTACAGGGCGGTACCCCGACGAACGGTCTATTCATAACCCATTTGGTTGAACGTGAACTCCATGTGATATCCTCATGGGGGAATAGCTGACTTCGGAGCTATTTTCTTGCTGTACTATGCAGTTATGGCGTATGTGGGCTGGCTTTCTCATGAAGAAAATCAATAAAAATTTTTGACAGCACCCAGGTCTCCACCTGAGCCTTCGTAGATAAAGTTCCGGTGCGAACACGAGCGAAAAAATCTTTCGACGACACATATTTTGTTAGCCTTTCAGCGATCAGACTATAGGACGTTCACTCCCATATCAGCCGGATGAGTATGAATTTCCCAGAAACTTTAATCAACGAAGGAAGGCGTTTTTTATAGTTTACATCACTCAAGCCTTCAACGAACTCTGGCGTATCGACCCGATAGGTATGATCGTTTCAATATCGACCGGTTTCTTCGTTCACTCTCTGTTGGGTTATTTTTAGTTACATGCTATCAGCAGTAAAAAACGGTTGCAAAGCACAGCGGACCTTGCGCATCACTCACATACAAGTTGGACTGCAATAAAATGGATTTGGAAGAGGCGAGTATGGGTCAAATTGGTCGAGGAAGACTACCATTGGGCAATTTGTTCGGAAGCAGATAACCGCGTTCAGAACACAAAAAGGGACTCGACGGAAACTAGATCGAGGATGTTAGCGCGTCAAGGATGAGATGAACCAACCGAATGAGAATTCTACAGACATATCAATCAGATGGTCCGTAATTCGGCCAAGTGGGCCGTGTCTCTGTGTCATTCACGGCGACCCCATCCAACCGATGTGAACTCTAATCACCTCGGGCTATCTAATCCGGAAGATGAAGGAGAGGGGGACTCTCGGTGATGATTTACATCGGGGAGGGATTAACGTAAAGTGGTTTTTGGCGGCCTAACTACTTCATAGATAATTTCTGGCATTCCAGGAGCTCAGCGGATTCGGCGAAGCTGAACCAGGTTTCTCACAAACTGGGACGAGCTCGAGAAAACTCAGTGGTTAAGGCGTGAACTTCCTAACCGGGAGGGGCTAGCTTCAAACCCAACCCGACTGCTGCCCCTGTGCTTGAGCAAGCTGGCAATAGATCAACCCTCGTGCTTCCTTCAGGTGGCATGGCAGCTAGGCACCAGAGGAGTGATATAGCTGAACGCTTGCTATTATTACCTTTTCTCATAAACCTACCAGATTATTGAAAAAAAAGTCGGAAGTTCACCTACCTTGCTCAGCTGAGGTTGTCCATTAGGCCAAGCCAGCGAGTGACAAAGCTTCCGCAATGCCAACAACCTTTCATGGGCTCGATCAGATGAGGCCGCGGACAAATGGTGGGTAGAATTGTCCACACCTGTCGACGCATTTTGCTGGTGTGACGGCGAATGATACACTCCATTCAGCTTCGGTGTGACCGCGTTCTCGCGATGCACTACAATCGGCTGTGTCTTTGGACGCCGTTGCTTGGAGTGTAAATTCAGTGACTTGTAGTAAGCAACGGAACAGGAAGAGGCATTTAACGCAACCGAGTCAGAGTCTTTTGTGAAAATCGTACCCGGTTTCCGGATTCTGGTAGCTGTGTGCCGAGCAGTGGTGGTAGAATGCTCGGAGAGGGAAGACAAACTGTTTGCAGGGGTACCAAACAGGGACCTCGTAATCCACGGCAGTTTCAATCGATCGAAGCCCTAAAAAAGGGGCAGACATATAAAGTTGAACAGATCAATGGAGACGAGGGTAAGACATATCATTATTATCGAGGGAGCTGTGGTTAAGGCCTGTTATTGACCTGAAGATCTATGTTACGAACTCAACCTTCGCATCTCGACTGCCTTGTCTAGGCTTGGACAACCTGACAGTATCCCAGCCTTCAGGTGGCATGGCAGCCAGGCACCAAAGGGGTGTTAAAGCTGAACGATTATTATCAATAATCAATGAACGAAACTCCTGAAAGACCCGTTGATGTGGAGAACGAAAGGAGTGGTTGTCATGGGGTGAAGATTTGTGCAGAACACAAGGGCTCTATGAGTACGTCAGTGAAGGCCGACTAAACCGTATACCAGATGCATGAAGGTCAGCTGAGAAAAATCAAGCGAACAGTTGCCAAAACAGTTGTGCTCATGCACCCATGTAACCTTGACTTGTTGGACCATGGCCTATCGTGCATCAGAATGTGTGGTAGGTCGATAGAGAGATTGGTAAAATTGCATTCGAAATATTGGTTGTTTCTGGTGAGTTTATTGGCTGTTGATGTGTTCGCCGGGCTCGCCAACTGACTTGCAAACGTTTCGTCACCATACAACGAGATATCATCAGTGCGCAGTGGTGACGAAACGCTTGCAAGTCAGTTTGTAGTCTCGGCGAACAAATTAACAGTCATCTAATCAACAACCAGTACAATTGCACTCATTTTTTTCAACAGGGTCGATGGAAACTCTCGACAGTCTAGACTCATCGGGTAGGCCAAGATCTTAAGATTCTACAGGTTCTGACTTTGTGAGGGGTAGTGAGACACTTCCCGAACATGCTTCCAAATGAAACATTAGACGACCTTATGCAGACGAATTTCAGTGAAATACACTTATTTGCAAACAAATTCGGTTTTGCGGGAGATTCACCTGGAACTTAGCTGAATCTCTCGTTTATGATACTTTCAAGCAAAACCAAAATTTGCTTGCAAATCAGTGTAGTTCGCTAATTTCGTGCAATTTTGCTTCAAGCAGAACATGAGGTTGAGAGGCACTCGGCGACTGCGTCAACTTGATGAGCTCCGAGAAGGGCAAAACCGGTCGTGGACTGTCGGAGAGTTTTCAATAACGTCTATTCAAGTAAATTTCAATTGTTCCTCATCAACATCAAGTTAATTTGCAAGATCATTCCTATTGAAACTAACTTGGCATCACGATAATTCCCTCATTCATTTGCTTACTCGTGTACTGCCTGTGTACTCATCCTTTCCACAGGCCCATTATTCACCTTACCGCCTCACCCGACACTGGTACACTAGCATGTGCGTCTTTGATCTACTTACCAATTGTGTTCATGCCCCATCTGCTGGAACTGTTCTGACTGGTTCGGTCTTGATTTCCGTGTGATCGCAACCCCAATCGAGATCACGTAATCGACACAACCGACCCAACATTCTGCTCGCCATCGTTTGGTGTGCTGACCTTGACATTACGTTGTACCGGTTAGTGACAGACTAAGGCACTTGTTGAAACCACGAACATTGACAATGGAGTTTGGTGTATAATTTTCCTCAGTTTTGTGTAAATAGTACCTTAGAATTTCGAACCTGATTCTTCCGTTTAATTTTTGGGGTCGTCAAACCTACGCTGACTGAAAGTTCGGATCTTCCACCCACCGCCGTTATGAATCGCTTAATTCTGATTGAAAGATATTCCAACCAATCATACTGCACCTCGATTTGGTCCGCAGCCAGTTTCCTGTAATCGACGTAAAGTGTGGTTGCCCCGGGTAAACGGTGGACTTGTAAGAATAAGTTTCGTCTCAGAGGCCTCAGAAGATCCCTGACTGCATATTAAAGCAAAGAGTTTACCAGGACCGTAAAATAATGCTGCGGCCGCATAACTCCACGTGCTAGACGTCATGGTGGCCCCATATACTCTAGTAGGATTCTAGCGCCCCACGTATTGTCGTACTGTTCGCACGCTGAGGAAAGCAAGAATGACAGGAAAATGGTTAAGAAACCATTGAACAATCCTATAGTCCGGAGGCTACAAAAACGGGTGAGCGCAAGCGTGAGCGAAGTCGCAATCGATTGTCAGGCAACACGATAACGTTGAAGAAAGATAGTGGGCCAATCCGGAGCAAGACAGATCAACCCATAATCTCATTCGTTTAATTTAGTTAGCTCGTTTTGGAAACCCACACGCCAGTGTATGTCCATTGATAAGACGAATCGCAGCATGTGCACAACTTACCTGATGGTCACACGCAATAAAGCGGGAGCGAATTTGCATAAAATAAAACGTCACCAAGAAGCTGCTGTTTGATTCTAATGTGGCTAAAAGTGGGTCAGTAGCAAAGCTATTGATCGCCTACTACTCGCTTCACTGATACTGGTGATTTTTGGAGATTAGTGGTTTGTACATTGCCCTTCTGCTACTTCACTTCCGACATATGCATGCAGATCCGGAGGACAGGGGTCAGTAGCCATTGTGATGGCGCACGTGCGAGGTTCGACCCCTGGTCGTCAATCTTACCCAACCTGGCATTTGACTACCATCAGTACATAAGCAACCCAAGTGAAGAATAATTTCGTACGAAGAGTGAGACTTTCACCTTGGAAGTCGTCTCTCGAGTAGCCAATCGACACCTGACCACGTGATGTGGCTCCCATAATTGGAAAATGAGTCGCGGTATAACTTATCCCAGTGTGAGTAAATAACACCGCACATGAGCAGCTCGTGGCCGAGCAGTTAGGTATCTATACTACTAGGCGGGTGATTCCAAAGTCCCTAGAGTTCGTAAGGTACACACTACTGATGATTCCCAGTAAGAAGGAACAGCTGTACAGTGCCGTTCAGCTTTTCGGCCAAGATTGGCTTCACTAAATGGCCTCACTAACTTGGTGGACGATCGTGCAACTCTGTATCGGTCCCTTGGCTTCCTGCTCCGCCAACTATGGTATTTCAAAAGGCACGGTAGCTCCAAGTAGCCCTTTATGGAGACAAAGGAAAATTATTACAACTGTATTTATAGGGTAGTCACAGAGTGTTCCACAAGGTCGTGCCAGAGTCTCCGTGAGGGAGCGAGAAGCGTCGAGTCGAAGGTGTTTGACCCGGATTGGCTGGCATTCTGACCAATTAGGGCATGCCTTCGTTTCGCCCGTGTCCTGCACGTGACATCCGTCCAGATGATGTGGTGTTCATGAGCATACACTCATTCGCAAACTAGTTTTGGTTTTTCGAGAGACTCTGAATCTCTCGTTTGTGATGCTCTCAGGCAACTGAATGTGCTGCACCAGGCCGCCTCATGTTTCAATCGGTACGATATTCGAGATATCGCGATACATGTATATCTTTGTAATGTACCACTCATAAGGTTGCTGAGAATCCGTCGACAGCCCACGACCGGTTTTAAGGGAGGGCTGGCCTCCGTAAACTAAAATGACAAAATCACCCTCATATTAGCTTACCTGGTTGAGTAAAAAAAGCAGAATGCCATGACAGCGTTTGCCTGAATCAACCTAACTAGCCGACTAACCTTTGGGCGCATCCTACCCCTGGCAGTGGCAACTAAGGCAGCTCTGGACGCTCGCGCTCGTCGTTGATGGATCAAATCTAGAAGAATGATAAAATCGTCACTGGCCTCCCGAAGCATCAGGAGTTCGTCTCGCATAGCCAACAGCTCAACCAGTCGGTCGGAAAGACGGAGCACAGCCGCTAGTAATGAATCCACGTAGGTTTGCAAATGCTTCGTGGTAAAGCGGGTCAGATCTGAACGTGAGGAGGGTTGGAAAAGACAACAGATTGATGTGAAAGCTGGTAAACGTTTAAAGAAAGTTATAGCAATGGGAAAGTAACACTATTTTTTAGTTGGTCGGTCGATACGATTCATGGGAATAGCTGTTCAAACGGCTACAAGAATTTGCCCATTTTTTTTTACTTTTTCTGAATTCCACAGATGCAGATGCACGAAAGTGAACCGTCCCAAAAGATGAATAAATCATCGGTTTCAGATGAACAACGGGAATTGCGCGCGATTGATAGTATACATTTCTATGGAAGCCAGTTTGCAGATGTCACGTGCACACACACACACACGCATCATTGGTTGGATTAGGGTAAATATGGAATTAATCAGCGACAGAGCATTACGCGCGGGATGGGAAAGGAGTCGAAGGTAAGCAGGACCGCATCGATCCACGACAGGAGTGAACAGAGATTAGCATCCTAAAAATCGGTGGTATAGGTAACGCAGTCGAAAGACCGCCTCACCGACAGGTGATGCCTTACTGGGTGGAGCGTGTACGTGATGACGTGTCCGGTTCAAACAGAGATGAAAGAAACCGTTGATTTACGAGGATCGGAGTCGAAAAGACATCAAGTTGCACCATAACAACAAATAATTTATCTAAACAAGTTGGGAAACAAAAACACTTTATTAATTACTGTGAAAATCGATTGAATGCTACTTCAAGGAATACGAAACGAAGCTGTAGGAACATATGAGGTGGCGAAAAGGACCGATTCGTTTTACGCCTGTCTGAGGAATTCCAATAAAGGGAAGAGAGTTGGAACAAACACCTGGTCGAAGTGCGAACACATCACTCCTTGCCCATCATTAGTTGACCGAGAACAAAGGGCTAAATTAGCTTAATGAGGCAGTACACATGCATCCCCTGGGTTGTCTGAAGAGGACACTCTAAAACATTGTCCGCTAAAAAATCATAAGGACATTCGGTGATTCAGTCAACTCGTGAAAATGAGAAAAACAATTTCTAAGCGTGAGTTAGGATTCTTCCGGGAGGTTCGGTTTGGTGATTCCCAAAAAGGATGAAACAACTGCACAGTATTTCACTGCTTTCCGGCACAGATTGACTTCACCTATACGACGAAAGCTCAGATGGGAATTCCCAAATCTCCTCATACTAGCAACAAAAAGACGACATGCCGAAAACGGGTGCCTGAAGGATGGAAAACCTTTGAAATAGCCAAGTTTATGAACATCTTACTTAAGCAAATATGGTACCGTTTTGAGGGGACTACTCACACCGAGAAGACTAGTGTAGAAGTACGGATTGCTTTTGCTGCAGCCCCTTTTCGGAAAAATGGATATCAAAAAATCAGAGACACAATAATAAGTGATAAACCGACCCACTTGTTGTGGTGGTCGGGCTTTTCTGTTGCAATGGTCCTGCGGTCCATACTAGCTGGAGGTCAGTTCTTAAAGGTTCACCCATGCCAGGAAGGCCAACAGAGAGCAGCCCGACGAAGAACAGTGAGTCCCTGTACTGCAAGTAGTATTACGCCGCGGTTTGGAAGTAAAGTCCTTTGGGATAGGGGTGTGAAGGTAGTAGGGCGTTTCCCCCAGGCGACCAGCATGTTCATATTTATGGTAGTAGCAACGCTGCCATCCCCGAGGAAAGATAGGTTACAAGAGGTCGGTCGCAAAAGCCACGCACATCAATCTCCCAACGGTTGACCGTGACCGTCAACGCACTACTCAAAATGGTCGAAATACTTTTAAAACCAAAGATTCTGGCGCTGCTCAAAAGGCACCTGCTATGCGCAACTGTAGTAGGAGTTAGACGGTAATTCCTTACCCCCTGCGCCCTCTATCTAGGCCAGCCCCCTGCAACCATGTCCGTCATACTATTTGAGTCATTGGATCTTGGAAGGGTCCCCCGAAAAAAACCTAGCAACCGCTGTCTCTGGGTTCAGACTTTTGAGTCACAGTCCCTAGGTGGGCTACCTCAACTGAACCCCCTTCTTCGGTTTGGGCAACCTGGAAGTATCATTTGCCCTTGCAGCCCTTCCTTCACTGGCCTTTCCCCAAACTCTCTCCTCACCCATCGAACAATGCAGTGCAATCAATCCATCTGCCACTCCCCTAGCCATCGTTTCGTCTAAATAAACCAAAATAATCACTCAGTAACCTCAAAAGACCTGATGCGCGTTGCAGCCTTTAATGTCCGTACTCTACGTCAAATGAAGCAACAATCATCTGTTGCTGAAACCTTGCTTCCCCTCTCTGTCGATGTATGCTGTGTCTCCGAAACATGCATGCAAGACCCCATTTCGGTCGCGCTCCTTAAGCCGCTTGGGACGAGCCCAGATGTTCCGCATTTCACTGTTCGGACATCCGGCGATCCTGACGCAATGGCTCGTGGCATTTGCGGTGTGAGAGGTGTACTCAGACCCAAGGCAGAAAGCGCCTTACTGGACTAGAACCAAGTAGACAGATGTCTTTGCGCTGTGCGATTGTCCGGTGCAATTAAGATCAATGCAGGCCAATGTGGTAAGTGGCGTTTATTCATCGTATCAGCACATGCTCCAACAGATTGCAGTTCTGAGACTGAGAAGGATGGGCCTAATCAGGATCTGTCGCGACTGGTTCGGTCAGCAAGATGGACGGATACAGTAATCCTGGCGGGTGATATGAATGCCAAAGTTGGATAAGCCCGGAAGAATTACAGTTAGGCGGCAGGTTTGGGGTCGATGCTGAGCGTAGGATAATTGGGGGTTGTTTCTCCAGCTGTGTGCAGATCATCGTTTGTCTTTAACCAGTACGAACTTTCCACACAGACGCCCATACCGAGTTACTAGGAGGCCACCTACCACAAGACAGTCACGGACTCCATTGGACCATGTGGCTATCAGTTACCGACCGAGAGCCTCAGTTAAGGAATGTCGTTCCTTCTGAGATACGCAACTTGACTCTGATCACGCGGGGCGGGATGGCTCAGGGGTTGGGGCACGAATCTACTGACCGGAAGGTCCGTGGTTCGAACCCGACCTCTGCCTCTCGACTTCTCCTGTCTAGGCTTGGGCAACCTGACAGTATCCCAGCCCTCATACACCCTGCTCCCCTCTGATCACGCCATCGTGCGGGCCCGCTAAGCGCTTCGCCAGCACTATGTGCGACAAAGAAAAGCAGCTCCGTTCATCAACTTCGACAAGTTTCAGTCGCTGAAGAGCATCGAGCTGATCCGGCCAGAAAGCTACTGGAAACACAAAGTCATGTGGATGACGAAGAGTGCTTGGAGGTTGAATGGAGGCGAGTTAAAGAAGCAACGCTCTCAGCTTTCAGAAGTGTTTGTCCAGCCCATCTGACTCGACTAAATGAACGCTTGATATCGCCGAGATCAGCAAAAAGGCCATACCATCAACTAGCGACTATGATGACGCATGCAAATCCGTCAGACACCGGGTAATCAGGGGCTTGGAGAATGACAGAGAACCCTGGTGAATTTCGAAGGTCCAGGAGATGGAGGTTTTTGTTGCAGGCAACAGCCGCACTCTGCTCCAACTGATTCGATTAACAAGAAGGCAGGTGTCAGCGAAACAATATGTGTAAAAGATAGAACGGCAATTTGCGTCCTCAGTCTTCAGCGACGGACTGAGCACTTCAGAAAACGGTTCGGCTGGTCTCGTTCAACACAGCCGCTGGAAGAAACAAGCGGGCCCGAATGGAACAGTGACACCAACCCGCCATCAGCAACAAAAATCCAGCATGAGGTATCAATCCTGAAACGCGACAAGGCACCTGGCCCGGATGGCCTGCACCCCGAGCTCTTCAAAGAAGGTGGCGAGGTCCTGGTGAACAGTCTGACAAACATACTGCAGAAGACCTGGAACACCAGTCGAATGGAGCTCCTCGACCGTCATCTGTTTTCAAAACCGGCGCAAGAACGTCATGTGAAAACCATCGTGACGTCAGCCTGGTATTCGCCACATCTGAGGTGCTGTCTGGCATTATTTTGCGTAGATTGATCGGTTATCGAAAGAGATAAGTTCGGCATAATGAACCTGGTCTTTGCCCTGGCTGAGGATGCATGAACAATACCTTTACCTTGAGATTACTTCTCGAACCGGGAGAGCCAGGACACCGATGACGTCGATGTGAAGCCAGTATGTCTGTCAAGGGCAAAGTTTGCACTGCGGCTGTGCGATCCATACTGCTTTAGGGGTCAGTGATGTGACCTCTGGGCTCAGAGGACATACAGAGTTTGTGAATGTTTGACCATCATTGTCTCCGAAGCATTGGTCAGGCCTGGTGGGAACATCGCATTAGTAGTGCTGGGGTACGCCAGAGGGTACTTGGAAGAAGGAGCTCTCGCGAGATAAGTGAATTGCTCACGCTTCATAGGTTAAGCTATTTATGACATGTACTCCGCTTGCCAGGAGACCCGCAGAATTCTCTTCGCCCAGCTCTGTTCCGAGTGGAAGCGACGGAGAGGTGGACAAAGTATGACCCGGCAACGAAGTATGAAAACACTAACCAGTAAAAACTTGGTCGGGTCGACAACTGCGCCCCCCCTGGGAACCCCGAGGATTCAACTCACCAATGGTTGGTGACATTGACAGAAATGGCCCAGTCGCACAGTCTATTACGCACGTTCATCAAACCTATCACCTTCATCGCGTAGCTGCCCAGTTCCGAATTAACTGAACAAGCCATCGCCTCCAAGGCTTAGTTGTATGTCCCACAATCTCTGACTTTGCGGCGATCGAAACTGTAGCATCTGGAAAGAGAGTCCTTAAAATACACAGTTTATAGCCCGATTAACTGTTGAGTGGATAATAGCGATCCAACTGTGGTACCCATTCGGTACCTAGCTTCCACGCCATCTGAAGGAAGTTTTAACTGTAACCAGGCAACGTGAAATCAAACTGAGTGTTGTGGCATCCTTGCACGTCCTTATTTGATTCCATTTGCAGGTGGTTAGAAGCAGTGGCGGACACAGCAGGTAACCGGTCCTAGTGACGAGCAT